TTCCAAAGATTCTTTTTGCCGACAATATAACTTATGACAGACAAGACAGGTTTTAAAAAACTAGACTAGAACTAGAATCTACCCCAATGATAGGAACTGGTACGCCAACAGTACATATGTATTGACGAATCCATCTGCAATCACATAGGCAGAGCCATGTTTCATCTGTACGTGCCACACAAAACGTACAACAACGGGCTCAGTTGATTCGAAATCATACTTCTCGAGATGACGGGGTGTAGGACACCACATAGTGTTAAAGCTCATATCCCATTTTCTAGATGAAGGAAGCATCCATTCACCGGAATTTGATACACAACCTTCTCTTTTGGTGGACGTTTACTGTAAGGAAGGGTGCGCCATATGGAAACTGCTAGAAGAACAAAAAGAGGCCTTTCAAGCCAGTCATCCACCGGATAATGAAGGACAGGCAGAGTAACAGAATTAGGACGGCGTAGTAGTGCTGCAATGGAAAGATACGAAGGATATTATTACGGCGTCCACAGTTGACGACGCGTCTGTTTCTTCCAACGCATCAAAACTGTGGGAAATTGAGGGCTATAACGAAAGAAAGCTTTTCGTCGACATATGTGATCAGATGGCGGTCACTTGCCCATTTATCAGGCGGAATAGCAAGTGATATGCACATTTCTGTTTGCTTATGGCATACATGTATGCTTATCTACTCATACTTTACTACATCTCGCTCTTCTTTCACTTGATCACCGAGACTTGCCTGATGAAGGCCTCGTAGACATTCGATGAGACGTGCTTGAAACCTCGCTGAATCATTTCAAGATAGCCGTCTACCTGTGTAGTAGTGAAGGCGGGACAGTTTAGACATTGTCAACCTTGCATTTCGTTGAATAAAGCGGCATCAACGTTATGAAAAGATGAAAATCATGTGTTGGTTGTTACAAAGCTATTACAGAGCTCCATGATCGCAAGGATGCTGCTCAACGTGCTAATAAGGCTTACACTAGGTCCAGCCGTTCTATAAAAAAAAGGCCGTTATTATCTCAAATGATTCATTATACGTACAATCTGTACACCACCTGTAATGAATTCTATGTGATTGTTGTTTATGTGGATTTCATGTAAAGATTGTTGATTGTATGGAGGAATGGAAGCGAATGACCTCCGTCGATTGTGATTGTAGGCAAGCTTTGTAGAATCCTGTTATGTATTGTAAAAAAGGAGACTTGATGACTATTTCGAAACACAAACTGTAGGGCAGAACAGTGGTGGAAGCATGAAGCACCGATCCGCACTGTAGAAGTTTCCTTGGTGAACTTATCATCTTATCATAGCGAAAGTTCCTGTCTAGATGTCGAATTCCAGTGTTCCAGTAGACGCTTTTATGCACCTCTTCACTCTTCACAATCTCTATTACGCATACTCTTTTCAATGTCAGTAGCCTCTTCTCTTAAAATGAACTCGTCTGAAAAAGGTTTTATTTTGTAAATTATTAAGTGTTGAGCTCTTGAATAGCCAACCCTGATAGCAACTACGCAGTTCACTACGCAGAGCTTTAGAACTGATCTTCTTGTACTCAATCGATAGCTTATTTAACCTAGATTTCAGTAACTGAGCAGTGGACCGTGAAAACCTATCTTTTTTTTACACGACCCGTCTTTCACATCTGCTCTACGTATCTCAGCACATCTTGCATTGATTCATTCTCTCTCGTTCACCATTCACGAGTATCTTCTTTTGCGTATGGGTTCGGCTGCTGGTTGAAGATTTCCTCTTTGTCATGAATGTCGCTCAATGCTTATTGGGTCGATTCACCCTGAAGTCCTGAAACAGCCGGTTCATAGTGTTCCTTTATAGATTTTAGAGAATGGAATTTTCCCAAACAAGTCAGGGACCAACTTCCCGACAACATCGAAGTGTTGGAAGTTTGGTGAGCCAGGTGAAGGCTTGAACCTGTACCGTGGTCATGATAATCGAGATTGCCATCACCATGACAACCGTAGCTGAAGCCTGTTTTAAAAATTTACAAACTGTTTTTTATTGAATTGATTTCGCAGCGAAAGATACCTTCTTCCCAAAGGGCTATGACTACAAACAATGTTGCTGGTGAAGAGACTGCAGAAATTTCTATATTTGAACACTATGCCACTATATATTACATGACACTTATAGAGACTCTTTTTTAATGATATTATGATGACTCAGTAAGGAGACATGCCAAGAGTGGCTCATTGTTCAGAGGATGTGCGCTCATCATTCGGGTTAACACATTTCTCAAGAGAATCAGCTAGCATTCTTATTACCGCGAGCTTTTATTGGCGTCTTAACATTGGCCTCAAAAATGTTTGCGCTGGAATCTAGGTGTACAATTTAAATATCCTACTTAAAAATAACACAGTTAAGCTGAATTTGTAATCCTTACACAAATGCGATTCTTCAATTCAAATATATGCCTCATCCCAGAGATCGGTATTGAAACTTTCTAAGCAATAGTGTTTTTGCAACGACTTCATCTAGCGATCACCTGTTTGCTGTATTTTGAAGCGTATTTACAAATACAATGTCCATGCATGGTCTTCTAGTCTTTTTTCAAAGACCCGTAGTACCTACATGTAAGTTGGAAAGAATTTATCTGAATCATGAAGCAGCAGAAATATATCTACTATATTCGCTCGTTTGTTCGCTGCTGTCCAGTTATGTACAGTTTCCCTGATTTTTGCTTAGACTAGACAGATTACAACTGCTGATAAGATGAGGTTTTCACAGGAGTAAGTCCTCGACCATGAGATGGTTTATGAGCGCAGTATGTAAAACTTGTAGCCGTGTTCTTGGACTCAATGTCATTAAAGATCCGTATCTCAAGCCAAAGTGAATATCCATTAACTCGAAAAACCGACTTTCTATAAAACCGACCTCGGCATAGATAGTTGATATATTTATCTATGTGATCTTATAAACTGATCTTCTTAAGCTGACGCGAGCTTGGTACAGATCTTCGTTGTCGCTGTCGTTGTTTTTGATGTTGTTGGCCGATGGCTGACGTATCGGCGACTTCGCCTTGCTCACAGGCGTGATGTTACGTGCGGGGCTGAGTATCCATTAATACAGTCAACATCCCAGATGGTCATGGTGTGTTAATTTGCAATGGAGATGTAAGACAGTATATTGCTAGACCACTCAGCTCTTATTTCATTACCAACACCTTAACTTTGTCTTTGTCGCTTTCAATGAAGAGTTGAAGATCGAAAACGTAGCAAGAGCCTCATATACTGTTCACATGGATGTTTTACAATATTTCTCAAGAGCCATAGAACAACGACGCTAGGCTGATGGCTATCTGATAAAAACTATGGAGATTTCTGCTGATTCACTGACGTTGCCAGTTTTTGAAACTATGAATGAGTATTTACTTTTAAAATGTTTAACGTTTTGTTTTCTGCCTTCTATAATTTTCATGGCAGGTTACTAAGCGAAATACAACCACAACGTTGCTGAGATATTTGCAAAACTCTGGACCGCAGGTATTTCGCTTAGTAACCTGCCATGAAAATTATGGAAGGCAGAAAACAAAACGTTAAACATTGTGATTTCAACTACAGCCATAGCTTAACTGGGTTCTATGCCGATTTGCGCTCCCCAGATCAACCCCGCTGACGGGTGATTGCTGTGGCAAAAAGATCGATAGAAATAGCTGAGAGACGTGCGAAACAAAGGACCCGCATGGTGTGGTGGTGAACGCGTTACTCCCCGGAAAGGATAATAGCGCGTTCGTTCCCCACCATAGACACCTGCGGTCCATAGTTTTGCAAATATCTCAGCAACGTTGTGGTTGTATTTACTTTTAGTTCATAGATGGCTGAAAGCAGGCAGACCTTTCAACGACTATATATCAGCTCAGCGTGAACGTGATTTATTGAAATAAAACTAACAGAACTAAGATATCTTCATCAACAATGTAAAGAATTTTTTCTTCGGCAAAAATGGCATTGTGTTTTTTTTCTTAAAAGCCTAGAATTTAAATGGCATTAAAATAAAAAGGACTCTCAAGAAAAAATTATTACACTATCCTAGAGACACTTCAGCAATTATGTCAAGTTTCCAACTTTTCTAGCTCTCTATTTACCAAAAACTTTTGGAGTTATCAAGAAACTAGAATCGTTCATCCTTTTCAATAACTCTGTGATGCCCCAAGTCCAAGTCCCAGCCCAAGTCCCAAGTCTGCCACTGCCCCAAGTCCCTCTCAAGCCCTCAAGTCTTTTAATTTTCGAAATATGACTGCCTGTAGTCGAAAAACCAGTGTTGCTTGTTACGTGCTGTGCCCGTTTTTTTCATCCTGCCGAGTTGTGTTCTTTCTGCAGACGACATGAAATTAGGCGTGGTTCTACGCTGCAGCCACGCAAATTTGTGTGTGGGCGTTGTGAAACCAGTTTAGTCTAGAGTTTATTCCTACTTCTTCTGGATATAGAAGAAAAAAATAAATAGTGGAAAAAAGCATTTAATCAGCAGAGTAGCTGTTCGTGATAGTGATATGCGGTTTATGTCAGTTCGCAATGGGTTATCATTCTGAGCCATATCAGATTCTCTTTCTAGGGTGGCTGCTTTACTCAAAAGTTCATGCTGCGCGGTAATCATTTCCGTTTGATGAAACGATGAGTACGTTGACTAATTCCTATACCTTTATGTATCTATGGTCTTTCTATAGCCCTTCTAGTGAAATGCAGTAATTTTTAAGGCTCTCAAGAAAGCACCTCATTACTGGCAATGGAATATTCGACGTCTGAGGAAGAAACAGTGATGCTACACGCCTCTCACTGGGTCATAATCGTCTTATATATCGTGTCGTTAACGACGGCGACGATCCACCTCCACAACTGTCTGCCAGATCCTTTGCCTCCCAGCAGTGGTTGGTTCTGACAACTTCTTTCGAGATTGACACGAGTAAACCATTCTGATTTTCCTACTGCCCTCTGCACTCTAAAATTCTTGCTGACCGTTGTTATAACGTTCTTAAATAAGTTCTTCCGATGCTGCAAAACTGGAAGTGGACGTTTAACGTGTTTCTGATTGCTGCTAGCTATAGGCTTCTTGCAGACAACAGCCACTTCTCAGAAGTTCGAGCTCGACGATTGTTGTTCGAGTTGTCAAACATCGGTCCAAAGCCAGCCGGTTCGGAAGCATGTGAAGGGCTCACTAGAAACCATATATTGGATGAGTTAAAGTGAGTTGTGCTTTGTAAGTAGTATAATTCAGTCAAGGCTTTATAATTGCTTCAAAGGCAATCAGTACCTTCTCCGATTTAACCTATAATTGTTTCGGAGGTAATTAGTAATTCTATTTCACGATATGATTTGAAAGTGTTATAGAATGGCATGACATAGTGAGGAAGCTTTAAGCACCAGATATGGTGACAGAGATTAATTGGAAGACATACCAGTTTTCTTGACATTCCCGACCAAGAAATATGCGTGCGCGTGCAGGCCAGTAACCATTCCATTCCTCGGTCACACAAACTCGTTCCTAATCGGCCTTTGACATGGAGATTATGGCTAGTCAAAAACCGGTCTTTTCCACACTTTGCTAGCTTGACATAATACACCGCCCGTTGTAGGTAACTGAACGCATTGAATTTCTAACAAAATACTGAGAAAGTAGTGACGGAAATAAAAAAAAATGAAAATGGCAAAACTCTCGGCGTTGATCATTCCCTGAGGGTTGCGCCATGCATTCAACTTTATTACGTATCGTTGGAGGTGACTGAATGCATATATGGCCTTTACAGTGACTCGCGGTGGGCTACCGATATATCAGGCCAGTGCCGCTATCCTCTCAGACAAGTCTGGTACCAATTTGCCGACCCCGGAGGTACGGAAAGCTTGGTGGGATATGGGCGCTAGGATAGATTCCACGTGTGCTGCAGGGCGTTTCCGACCACCGCGCTACATGCGCCCGTAAAAAAACCTAAGTTGAGAAAATCTTTTGCGATATCGTCTTCGGTCTACAATTCCTTCAATGCTATTCACAAATATTGAGTACCAGGAATAATTTTCTCTGAGACTGCTAGTGTGTGCTGAAAATGATTATTGTGTGGTCTGAAACAGCACTGTTACGCCAGCAATTGAACAAATAAGACGAAACATAAGGGAACGGTGTAGCCAAACGTTGAGCGCTCTATTCTTTTCCTGCTAAATGTTATCAAAAAGAAACAAAATGACAGCGAAAGCCACCTATTTAGCAATGGGATTTCACACAACCAATTTTTTATACTTGCCAGTACTTTTGTACGAGTTAGCGCGATTCGCTCTATATGCATTGCGGACAGTTGATCATATTGTAGTTTGTCAGCACTGGGGTTACGCACAAATGCACACACAAAACACCGAAGGTGAAGTAGCAAGGATTTGCTGTTGATCCGCTGTTTGCATAATTACGCTGTAACTCGTACGAAGGCTCTTTCGGGCCAGAAGTCTTCACTGAAGTAAACCCTTTTTCTTATGAAAAACACTCGAATATGTAAAATTTGTGCGGCTAACTTAAAATATGGAGTCGTCCCAAGTGGCAGTCACGCTAAAAACATCGTGGGTTTTGAGGGTTTAACTCAAATGATGGAGGTATAGTGTTCCTCAGCGATCAGAGAAAGAGGCTGCTACGGTTTACTACTGAAAGACCAGGAATGGGTGTTAATGGGCAACATAATCTATGTCATCGTGATGTACTTACGTAACACAAAACACGGTAGAAAATTCCCAGTGGACAAGTTGCCGTCTTTTTTCAGAACAAGCATAGTAGCGCTTTTGTTAAATGTAACGAAGCCGTAGAAATAATTGCAAAATCTGTGTTGTATGGGCTACCCATTGATTACAAAAGCTTTAGTAAAATGCCTCTGTGGGCCAAAACGAATCATCAGAAGGAAATGATACCTATAGACCTCATACTTACCACTTGCGTGGCCCAATTGTGGATACTATAGGGTCCATGTAGTCGCGAATGGGTTGATGAAGAATCTGGAAACTCACATCTATGAGCTAAAGCAATGTCAGATGAAAAACTCTTGTCAGCTACCTACTTTCCAGTCTTCTTGTGCTGACAGTTATCGTAGTTGTGACAATAACCAAAATCAGAGCAATCAGCGATTACTTTGGTGATCTGCCGGCTGACTACGAAACGAACGAAATGTAGCAATTTTGGGTTGTCCATTACCGTTCATTTTTCAGTCTCATCAAGTTGTCAGCAACTGTGCAATTTGAAATCGAACAACAGAATCCATCAGGATGTTTCGACTTGAAAAGATTTTCTACCGATGACATTACGATTTGCTATCGCAATGTATGTGATGCACTTGCGCTTCTCTCAAACTATGATTATCAAACATTTTCCGATATTTTTGAGCATTTTCATCATTATTCCAATCGTTACTTATATGCACTTCAAATATTTATTGATACATGATGTCCAGGATGCATTGAATACAATGCGTTGGGTGCGAAAGTTATGTTCGCTTTCAACTTTAAATCAGTATATCTCAGCTGGTCTTAAACTTCACTAGTTCGGATGAAAATCATTTAAATCTGAACATTTTTGCCTATACAAGTGGCCTTATTTTAATCCCATTGGACAACTATCGATTATCTGGACCCCATGACACATATTTTTTAAATTGTTACGCAAATGCCCGTCTTTGAAACACAAAAGTACTTGAGCAAGCAGGAGCAGGACAGCAGGACAGAGTTTTTATTACTTGCTTTATTTATTTTAAATACCCGTCTTAACGTCTACTGTGTGGATCCCAACATTTTTCACACTCGATTCTTTTCCTCGGATCCATCATCCACGAAGATCTTCCAACTTTTTACGTGTGGCTTCGGCTAATGTTTGAGGATTTTCATTTCATCTTGAATGCCGTAGAATGCTGGTCGAGTTCATTCTCCCTGGATTCCTGAGACGGCAGGCTGGATCGTTTTTACTTGGATTGAAGAGAGTGGTTTTTCTCGCACAAGTCCGGTACCAATTTTGTAACCCTGCAGAGATGAGAGATTTGTTTGGCCTAGTGTCGAATCGAACTAGCATCATGTTCGTGGTGGCAGGCATCACTACCACTGTGCTATCCGCCTTCTGCAAGACAATGTTGTTCCCAAAATATAATTTATGTGTCGAATTTCTGCCCTTATGCTGGAAATTTTTAGAACAAACACCTTTCAAACTTTTTTAAATTTTAATTGTATACATATCTGAGACTAAAGGAGTACTGTATAGAAAATACATATTCGATCATGTAGCAGAACGAAGTATCTTCTATAAATATGCGTAATTCCTAGCCCCTCAAATAGTCCACTGAACCCACGAACTCATGAAATCATGACTGATTGCCGAAAAAAAAACTGGTGTTGTTACGTGTCTGCGTCTTTAGTTGTTGTCTTTCCTTAACCAGTAGCGACAATATTCAAGCGCCGAATTTGTTATTAAACAGTTGATGTAAAGCCCAGTTAATACTCTTCGATCTTAAATGTTGTTTATTTGGTAAGCACTCCAATGATGGTACTGCTACTTTATTTAGGTGTGCTTGTAGTCTACAATTATTCATTAAAATAAAAGGATAAAGGATATAAAGCTCACGGCGTTGATCATTGCCTGAGGGATGCGCCATGAATTCGACTTCATTAATCATTATTTAACGTATTATTTACTGCCTACTCTTTTTAACGGCAGGGTATACATTGTGAAATATAACTTCAATGATGCTGAGACATTTGCAAAACTCCGGACCACAGGTGTATGTGGTGGGGAACGAACGCGCTATTGTCCTTACCGGAGAGTAGCGCACTTCACCACCACACCATCCGGGTCCTTCGTTTTACCTGTCTCACAGCTAGTTCTATCGATCTTTTACCATCAGCGATCACCCGTCAAGGGTTCATTAATCATTGTTTGGTGGTGACTGAAAGCATATCTGGCCTTTACAATGACTCGCGGTGGCTTATCGATGTATCGGGACAGTGCTGCTATCCTTCGGACAAGGGTGGAACCAATTTGCCGACCCCGGAGGGATGGAAGGCCTGGTAAGCCTTGGGGGTTGGGACCGATTCCATGTGTGTTACAGAACGTCTCCGACCACTGCGCCAAACGTGCCCATATTATTCATTAGTGTATAAAATTAATTTGGCTCAAATTGTTCAGTGCAAATATTACACCTGGAATGACGTATCTTCTTTTGGAGCCTAACTGATTTTATGATTGTTTATCAGAGCACATTATGTTTTCTTGATGGCTTTCATACCATCAACAAATAACCAAAAAAGAATCTGACCCCAGGTTTAATACTCCTGTAGATTTTCTATCGTCATTGTTCGTGTTCGACATCTAGTTAATATGACCGTCACAGCTACATTAATGTCAAATTGCTTGAAATGTCTGGCTATCCTGGAGTTCTATGCTACTGTATCAGTTTTTAAACTACTCCAGTGAATAGTACTTGCAAAAAGTATTAATCATCTGGGTGCGTGTGGTGCAGGCGTTGGAGGCCCCACTACGACACGGACATGGTCGATCCCTGCGCCCATGGCCTACCAAGCCCTCCATCCCTCCGGAGTCGGGAAATTGTCTTTGTCTGGGAGGATAGCAGCACTGGCTCAATACATTGGCAGGCCCCCGCGAATCATTGTAAAGGCCAGATAGCATCCAATCATCTCCAACGATACTTAATGAAGTCGAATGCATGTCAATCCCTCAGGGACTGATCAGCGCCGAGAGCTTTATCCTTTAGCTTTAATTAATCATATTGCAAGTAGAGAACAACTACGGTTGCTTGAACGTCCTTAGCTGTCATTTGTGACTAAAACTCACCATATTTCTCGATTACTATCAAGATAGTTACGATTTTGCCTAGACTTTTTTCTTTCTATTAATTAGGAGGATTTATAAGCGCGAATGACTTGCAAGAGCGCATATTTAGGTTTCGAATGTTGTTGCCCGTTTGTCTAAAGGCGACCACCACAGGCAAAAAAGGACCGCTGTACTACTGAATTGTCATTACGATAGTTGGCCGACAAGTCCTGGTAAGTTCTCGGAAACTCGAATTTCTCACTTTATGGGTTTTCTAGGAGTGTGGCGATGTGGTTTCTCACAAGAGTTGTTTCGTAGAGCGTTAAGTTCACCTTGTTTTATTTCTATGGTTAGGCTAAAATTGCAGACTACTGCCACTTTAGTTTTTCGACTAGGACATACTCGACAAAACACGGGATAGTCACTAGGCATCTATAGGCGCACTGTGTATAACCAACTCTACTTTTTATTCTTCAGTAGATCGAGATAATTTGGTTTGATGTCGAATTATAGATGACAGAAAATAAATTTTTTTAAACGTAAGACAATCAACCCCACTTCGCACTAAATTTCACTAAGTGTAGTAACCCATTAGAATCTGCATTTCTTTATTTGTACGTTACCTCTGCACTTCTACAAGACTTCGCAACACAGGTTCTTCCAACAGTGGCAATACGAATTCTGATATCCTACAAATCATTGGCTTTCTCACATTTTTTTGTTAGGCCTGGTATCAGTAAAAAGATTGAAGGGTCGGGATTTCATCCAGCAGGACCGCATGCCATCAATGAATGCGTCGTTGTATTGGTGGATGCTTAAAATTTTTGCAAACTCTTTCATCTCGTCAATATTTTTCAAATTTTGATTTAAGGAAATCGAGCCGAGGGCGATCTTTAGGAAAAGAAATATTTTAAGCCATTTTGCAATTGAACGAGGTCTTCTGAACTATTGAGCTCTTTGGTAATCGAAAATAACAGGCAGTTAATGACGAAACCAGCACAATGATAAATGCGTTAATTACAACATGTTACCATGGTCACTTCGCTCTGATGTCACGAGCTGATTAGAGAGAGTCGTTTGGCACAGGCGGTTCGGATGACCTCATTTCGTGTGCTCTGATGGTGGAGTTGATTCGACTATTGGCTCGCCAACCTGATATGCTTACGAAATACGATGTAGTATTTCTTTTTAATGGAGCTGAAGAATCAATCTTGCAGGTAAACAAGAAAACTTTTTTCTTCATCTGAACGGGTGAAATAATACTTCGAAATAGAAGCAATATGTGTATGTAAACTAACCTTTCTCACTTTCAACGAACGACATTTTCAAAATTTCGTAATGAATTCAGAGCTTTTAGGAGTCGTTACTTTAGGGGGCACACGGGTTCATCACTCAACATCGATGGAGAAATGACATACGGGCCTTCATCAATCTGGAAGCCAGTGGTAGTGGTGGTAGGGAACTTCTTTTTCAAGCCGGTGAGTTTTGAATGCTACTGAAGGATCTAAATTATATGTGACAAAATAAATTAACCTTCCAACTTTAGACGATGACATCTCAGCTCGCAGTAAACTTTAGAAATGAAACGGAAAATGCTGTAGAATTGATCTTTGCGAAATACAATCTCCTAACGGTCCCCAGCAGGGTCTCCCAAGCTGAGAAGGAGCCCGACTTCTCCTCCAGGAAGCCCAGTTAATAGACCGATAGCAGGATCCACCACCGTCCTGGTATCAAACTTGTCCCATGGTGGCAAATCTCCTACTGATCCAAAAAGGCGGTGGCCACCTATGGTGAACGCGACCTGGGCAGGCTTTGTCTAGACTAATCTTAGGGCTCCAGGAAACCACAGTGGCTAAACCAGCAAAGCTACGAGAAAATGAGAATCATGCTGGGACCCGCACAACCAGTGAAGACGGGTCATCCACGTAAGTAAGAACAATATACGAGTCCTCTTATTCTATAACGATGGCATTTTTCTTTTTAGAGCCTACAGAGCTTAATTTCTGCATTTTTGTTGACGGCAGTATCTCTGACAGTAAGACGGTTGAACTAATCGGAAATTTGCCCAGCAAAATACGATGTTGCCATCCAATGTACCTTCAATGTTCTCAGATGTCGCGCTTACGCTGAAACATTTCTGAATTTAGATTCCGCTTTAAATTTTTTGAAAATCTTATATTAAATCATTCTGAAATAAAATAACGTCTTGAAATTTTTTTAAAAAATATTTACAACATAAAGATGATGAAGCAAGTTTGTTCTACAAGGACGTTAAGCTCACAACTTATTAGCCACATTGTTCATTGAAAATTGGGCAGAACCCGCGAAGATTAGGCTTCCTTACCAACTATTTAAGAAGATTTAAGTTGGAGATGAAAAGACTGGTAAGATTACCCGTGATTTTAGTGCGGTAAGTGAAACGACTTGTGTGAGTTTGTCGCTGATCAGTCTAAATCACGTTCATGGCACAGGTCCTTCGAACCAATGGCTGTTGAATTCATATCTGGCGGCGGCCGTTTATCCTCATTGCTCAATTATCGCTCAAGAAATTTTTCAAAGCGGATTGTTTCCTGGTGACACGGATTTTCGTGTGCTTAGAGACTATGGCAAAGTACCGGGTAGATTTTTCCTTTCAGTTAATATATTCTATTTACCAATTTCTGGCAATAATATAGTCGTTTTCGGATTGGATTTGGCTTTTGTGCAGAATGGCTATTGGTGGCATACTGAATTTGATGAGGCACGCAGAATCACGCCAGGCTCATTGCAAAGAGCCGGTATGAATGACTGTATGATGTTCACCTACATGTTTTTCTCTTATCTTTTTTGTATGGTTACTTAATTTGCATTCTTTTCTGCTTTATCTGTCTTAGTAAAGCTCCATCAAAACAGTTCCGGCCAGTGGAAGTTGTGCTCCAGAGGATTTGTTCAGGTGATAACGTATACGCCACTCTGCTATACCTGCTGCAATCACCATATTTGAATAGTTCGATTGTGCACGACAATCAAAAATATGTGTTCTTCGATGTTCTGGGTGAGGTTTAACTCCTCTTTTAATCAGCGGCTTCGGCTTCATTTCGATTTTCTCAGAAGCTGCAACTTTACGATAATATGTTATTTTCCCAGAGTTTTTCATGAGCTGAATCTATTGGTTTTACAAGAACTTTTTTTTTTATTTTAAATTTGTGTTTGAAAAATTTTTATGTCCAGGCCTGTTTGTCGTCATCTATCCAGAAACAGTCGCTAATTCAATTAATGCTGTTCTGATTATTGCAGTTCTCTTAAAAGTGTCAACTCATTTTTTCCACTATGGTAAGTAATCAATATTACATATCTCAAGAGCTCATCTCTTGCATCTCTTTCACCGAACTACTTCAGCTTCCAATTTATCCTTGATGTTTCCGGTGCTAATCACGACTTTAACTTTGTCAGTTAGGAATGATAAGCGCAAAGGACTTTACTCTGATTGCCATATTCTTTTATGCTCTTGTTCATTTGTTCCAACATTCAGTTAAATAACACGAGTAATTCTTTTTAAGCAGAATATTACAAAGATGCTATAGCTGATTATATTGTCGTCATAGTATCTATGAGTACTGTGGTTTCCATTACGTCCTACTTGACGCTTTTCATTTGGGGAGCAATGCCATGGTACGTTTGTAGTGAATTTTATTTTGTTTTTAAAGCAAAATGTTAATGGTAAAACACGTTCGATACCCTGTGCATTCAAGGTATTCAATCCATGGATTGGCAGTTTTAATTTATGGATTGCCTGCTTTATGGACGGGTACCAACACAATGTTGTTTTTAACGTCAAGAGTTGATGGGCAAAACAAAGAGGTCTGTAAGACATTGTTATCAAACTCGGAAATTGGAAGATTAACATAGAATACAACTTGGTTCATAAAAAAAGAAATCGTTCAAAAGTTGGAGCAGATTGGCCGGTATGATTCACTTGAATAGCGGCGCTTGTTGCCAAAAAATAGGCGTCATTGCAAATTTGTGAATAGCGTACAGCGATGTCTGCTATTGTCTCAACGGTTTACCGCCTAATCGTGGCTGTGAGGTGTTCCTAAGTGTCGGATTGGGATGTACAGCGGAAGGATTCATCCCACCGACGGAGTTTCTCAAGCTAAGAAGGAGTCCGGCGTTTCTATCAGGTAGCCCAGGTAAGAGTGAACCAATACCAGGATGCACCACCATTCTGGTATCAAGGTCGCATAGTGGCAAATCTCTCTCTGGTCCACAAGGGCTGCAGCTGCCTGTGGTGGTAACGAACTGGGGCAGACCTTGGCTAAGCTGACCTCGGCACTCCAGAAAACCACAGTGGCTAAACCAGCAAAACTCGAAAAAATGGAGATTATGCTAGGGCCCGCAGAGCCAGTGAGGACGGGCCATCCGAGTATCCAAGAAAGATATCTTCTATGAGCAAGCGATTCATCTACATTAAAGATAAGTGTAGTAGCGATAGTTTTAAAATGTTCTTTGCTTGATGTTAATGGTTCAGGATCACGCCGCGGCTATTGAGAACGTGCATCAGCTTCTAATAGCCATCATTCTTACGGTTTTCACTTTAAAAGGTGTAGGTAGTGGCTACTTATTTGCTCTTATGCTGTTTCCAATCGTCAAGGATGTCGTACCTCTAAGAAGTGAGCACAAAACAGTTTTTACATTTTTCTCAAAAGGTGCGTAATAATGAGATGTGGTTGCGGCCAGCCTATCTGAACATTTCGAATTCCCTATTTTCAGACGAGTGGACAACAGTCTCGACCTACTTGCTACTGAACTTACCCTGTTTTGTTATGTTCATCTACCTATCCGAAATGCTACTTTCAATTTTTATTCCTATTATGGGCAGAACTGATTCGAATCCTGAAAGAGTTGTCGCCGTCTTCACAACCATTCCAGTTTTTGTTATTGTTCTTTCTTTGGTAAGTCGTAAAACCTGAAGAAGAACATCATCGTTAAACTCCAGGGAAACACATAGTCTTAACAGCAATAAACTAGACTCGTCTTTTGCTGATTATCCTTCAAGGAAGAGTTCTGACATAAAACACCTGCGGCTTTGCCTTTCATGTTCACCTTCTTGTTTTGCTTCTTTTTCTCAATTAGAGAGTATTTCATTTAGGGGAAAATGAAGCAGGTACGCGCTTGTGAAATAACGTTTAAGTATTCACTATTCTAGTGCGACTTGACCAGGAGTGTAATCCCAGTGAAAGTCTACTCTGCTTCATTTTAGAGTGACTTTTACTTGTTCCCAAAATTTTATTACTCGGGATGAAAAACGTTAAGCAAAGGGCGATATTAAGAACGGCGGGAAGAAGAAAAAGTTTGATAAAATGTTACCACCTCTTTCATCATTTCGTTCATCAATTTCGCTTATGTCACTGAAGAGGATCAGCTGCTGAAACGTAATAAAATTGTAGTAAAGGAAACTCTACTGCCTCCTGAAATAGTGGCTATATGTGCCTTCGCTCTTAGGCTAAATTTGTTATAGGCTTGTTGGCATGTCAACCAGCTGCTAGCTGATCATTTCGCAAAGAAAAGGCTAAACTACCTCCGGGAGAATCCTTTTCGGATCCAATTCATTATTTGTCACATCAGTGGATGTCATTGATATTGATCCATGCCAAGAAGTTTTGCCTTTATGTGCTTTAGAAGAACAAAACGATTCCAAAATACTGTAGGTCTGTACTATAGGGCTATTGGCTTTACGAAATCCTGGAAAGTGAAGTCTAGTACCAGAAAGAGTCAGTGAACCTGATGAAGTATTACGTTGCTGCGAATTTCGAATGATTTGTTTATCCGTTTCAAGAAGTCTATGCACTGCAAACAATTTAACTTTAAAATGTTGAGTACCTGAAACGATTAGGGTACATGATAAACTAGCTCTACTATCTTGAAGTCCCACTGATAAAGTTCCCATTGGCCCATTGTTTGGATAATTCGATGCCAGAAAAATGATGCGTAGTGGCTTAGTGGGTTATGGACATCTTTTTTCAGTTGCCTCTACTCACAATTACAACCACTAGGCGAGACTCATCGGCAACGTCTTTACCAAGGTTCATTTGTATGATAGCTGGTATAGTATTTGCTACCGCTGTTGTACTGTTTATACTTCATGTGATCCATCGTTCTCCATACAACTACTCGGATGCATATCCGATTGCAAAGCGGATACAGTTGTTCGTGAGTAATTTGCTTCATTAAGAACATCTGTATAGTTTAGTATTTTCATCGATTGCTTAAAAACAAGCAAATATAGATGGCGTTTGTTTCCATGTTTAAGTTTCGTAAACTATTTATAATACTGGGCCTTTGTTATGGCTGAATTGATGTCACTTCTTAATCTTCTACTTAGAATAAACATATGTCAGCTTATGATAGAGGTTGCGATTGGAATAAAAGCTCATGAAATTTGGATACTTTTGCCAATGAGGTGGATAGTTATCTGTTTCTTCAATATGGAATTCTAGGCTCTTGCACTTGAAGAGTTTTCTGAAGGTATTTTAAAGGATGATTTGTTCTCAACATTCTAGATTTGACGAAGTTTCGCGTTCCCATTGTTTCAAACTTTGTAGGACATACCGTACATGTTTATTTGGCAATAGAGTTAGATTTCTATATTCAGTGCCAGCCTCACGTTTGCTGTATTCATTTTTCAATCACCCGAAAACACTTCCTTGCCGTAGTAATTTCGTCCGGGTTCAAGAAACCTCAATTCAAGAAGAAGAAGAAGAAGAGGAGGAAGAAGAAGAAAAAAGAAAAAGAAGAAGGATTTAATCTCATCTCTCGTCCACCAGCAGCCACTACAACCTGCTTCTACAAAAATTTGACGTTTCCGTGCTTCACTTTTGTCGAGTGATGCGCAGTGCTTCTTGTAAATAATGAACTTTCGTTGTCCTGCACAGCGAAGTCAAGAAAAGGATAGCCTTTGCTGCACTGAGGAATCACAGAATAGCTTTCGTAGAGATGATCGTGATGCTTTTGGCTCATGTCGCGTGGCACATGCTTATCGAGTTTTTCCCTACTAGCGAGTTGCGTTGAGTGTTCCGAAACTACTGTCTAAGTTCTGCGTCTTTGAATGCCCTTGATTTGTAGTGTACGGTCTCACGTGGTCTTCGTCTTCAGTGCTGTCTCTCATCAACATGAAACCTGCTGCACTAAGTCCTTGAATCATGGGCAAATTGATATCCACACGAAAAAGTTCTTGCTTTTGATTGATTTGCTCTTCATTTTACACGATCCAATACCAAATGTATTGTGCAGATCTTCTTGCATTCAACTCGTCACCTCACGCGAACACGCTGGTTTTCGAAATTTTTTTTACTTCTGGGTTCAGCTATTGGTTAGGGATTTTTGTACTTGTTGATGAATTTCGTTGAATACTAGTCAGGTGATTCTCTCTGGAATCATGCGATACCCAAGTTGGGGGCTTCCAAGTTCTTCTTCAAGGCAGTAGACAACTTCTGTGGATTGATACTAGATGCATTTGGTAAAAATCTTCCGACAATGGAAGGATGGCAAACTTGGTTGTTAATTTGATTTCTACACGGCAATGTCAAATTCGAGATGTTCACAAAGGATTCTGGTATGCGTGAGAGTGAGAAAAACGGATATACGATTATCATGAGCTATTCTTACGGATTTGTTTCTTCGATTCATGCTTAAATTTTTAAAGTTGAGAAAAAACTACTCGTTAATCTTTCTGTGAGTGCTAGGATCACAGCTCTGCCGGAGCCTCATTTGGCATTCCATGTCAACTCTGGTGCAGTTAGTCTCACTCCTTATAAAGTGTACAACAGAAAACTGGTCATTAGGTTTTATTAAGTGTTTAGTACGGTTGGAGTTTGTTTTTTCCCGAGCTTTCTCGAATGAGCTTATGAAAATGCTCCACAGCTAAATGGGCATGCTGGTATTGATGGCCAAGCATCTGTTCATCATGAACACTATAACTTTTTACCGTTGCCGCGGCTCTCATTGACAAGACGTCTTTGTGTGGTGTATAATTGTATTTACAAAGCATTTATGAGACTTGTGGAGAATCTGGGTCAACGGAACCTATTTTTGATTGTTCATGTCGATGAAGCGCTACTTTTTAGCATGTGAATCGAGCGCTGCACAAAAAAGACGGTAGTTCATTGGTGCGTGACACTAGACTGTACGTGATCGCACAAGACTATCGCGGTGTAGAGGACATTCCATTTGTAGATGAAAGTGAGTTCTTGTAAACCTTAATACCAGGTTTGGTTCAAACCTCAGAATCAGGTCTTTTACTATAAGCTCTTAAGATCCTTTTCTTACTTATCTTTTTATCTCGCTTCTTTCTTTTTCAAGTTTATCATTTCATTGTCGATACTTTTTTAACATCTGCATTCTTAGAGAGTTGAGATGAAAATTTAACCGAATGGATACTGGTGCCTTTTCAGACTATTCAAATTTGGCATGCCACTATAGGAGTCCTTATTGTGAGATTCCTTTCTACTTCCCGAGAAGTCTTCGAATACAGGACAGGTACAGCCAGTTTCCTTAAAAACATTATGGTGTTAAAGAGTGTCGAACACTCTTTTTCGTTGTATTTAGCGATTTAAATAGGAAAAAAAGCAGCAGAATTGTGGTCGTTGGAGCGGTGATTGATTTTTACCAGTAGAAATCGGTCTTGATTGGAATGGTTAAATACTTTTGGCTTTGAATGATCGCGACTATCTGTGTAGCGGAAAGCCTCGAAAATAATTTAACCACATGGACACGTAGCTTCCGAATTCGAAGACGCCATGTTTTAGTGATTTTCAGGTATATTCGTTACAAAGTGCTCAATGAAGCATTGGAATTACCAGTGACAAGGATTATGTTGCTCAATAAAGAAGAAAGTAAAAATACGATCGTCTATAAGTTCCTAGTCAGAGGTATTTAAACACCGCTAGTGTTAAACTGCAAAAAAAATCGTGGATTTTGAGCATCATTCTCCAAAATTCCAACACTGCTCTAGACACCAGATTTAATTACGTTCTTCTGGTCCAACACCCTTTATACCAATAATTCAACTTTTTTCCTGGATTTAGTCGGACCACTGAAATTTGATTTTTCTTTTGGATTCAATTGGACCACTGAAATTGACAGTCAAACATCCGAATATTGAAAGTGGAGTAAAAAGGCAAAGCAGATGTGCTATGGCGGTTTCTGTTCTTCAGAATAGTATCTTTCAGGTAGTGGACAAATGTCGGTATTTATCGTTCCACAGAGTAGGTGGCAGATTGCCAAATGTTCACTATCGGAGCCAAAAGAAAATTTGTACCAAGGCCCTATGTTCATCTTTCTCACCTGCAGTGGTTTGAATTGCGGTGACTGGAGTTTTCAATTAACACTAAAGGTATTTAATTCCAACGTTATTAAAAGTGTGCTGACGCTTCCTGATCAGCGAATTCGACACATGACACAGTTTCTATCCAGAAACTAGGACGAAGTGGGTACGCATGCTAGCTTTCCGGCATGGTTACGAACTGTAATCAATTAAAACTTTTAAGTAGTCTATTCAAGCCAAATAACCTATGGTTGAATTGGTGTGGGGCACAGTTGCCAGCAATACATTCAATCAGGAAGCAAAGTACTGGTTCGACCCCATCCCAACGATCTCCTACAGTCCATGTGGGAATTCCTTAAGAAGAATGCAAGAACAATCTCCTCGTAACAGTTCCCAGGATCGACCTTCTAGTAACCTCGGTATTGGAATATGAATGCGTCGTTTTCTTGTTCAGCAATCGCGAGGTTGTTGAACAGCATATATTTACTTCCATAGAAAAACACAATACAACAGTAGTTGACGTTTCGGCTGTACCGCCTTCTTCAGAGCCTGGAAGTGTATACTGATATACAATCTACTAGGCCTAGCGCTTCAATAACACTTACAAAAAGACGAAAAGCTCTATGGCAATTATATGATCAACAGCTTCTCGAAAAACTCACCGCTTTTTCGTGACTTCCAATGAGGAAGTTTAGAACAGCTGATTATAGTCGCATGTGGTTGACGACTGCACCATCCCACATCAAAAATCGATGCGAACGTACGGGATCAGGTCGCGTATGACCTCCGGGCATTCGTCCCTGCTATTCATTGTAGGGTTTTTGGCATTGATCCAAAAAGCCTCAAGAAGTTTTCGCGCTGGTGTTTTGGACTCCTGTGCAAGGATAATGACTTTTACTTCAAAATTGTCTCCGCTATGCTTTTGTATCCTATGCGTGCCTAGTGGGGTGCTTCGTCTTAGTTTTCGTTTGCCATCTAGGTGTTCTTTTATACGGATACACAAAGGTCTGCCCGTTTCGCCAATATATTCATTTCCGCAATTATTACAAGAGATCAGGTATATCGTACCTGAACTCATGCAATCACCGTCCCTGCCGTAAGGGCAAATTACGCAATTTGTTGTTTCACACAGACGGTCATACAGGCGGTTACGAACTAAGACAAAATTCTACGACATTCATCAAGAAGACGAAATCCTCAGGCAAGAGTGGATACAACACGCCAAATGTTTGAAGTCCGTTGTGCATGTTGGATGCGAGGAAACGAGTCGTACGCGAGAATTGCTAGGATCCACATAGTAGATATGGAGACGAGTTATATGAAGTAATAAAACTAGTAAAGTTTTAGCACACATTTCATTATAACAGCCCTTATTAGCTGGGTTTAAATTGACTACAGTTTAAAGACGATTTAATCATGTATTTGTTGTGATGTAGCATAGTGGTTAAAGATGCAATGCACACTTGGTCCTTGGTACGATTCAGCGCTCCGAGCTTACTGAATAGTCTATCTCTCCGAGGTGAGCAAATTGATGCCAGACTTCCTGGGAGGGTAACCTCAGTGATTTAATACATTGATAGGTCACCGATAATCATTGTAAAGGCCAAATATGGCATTCAGTCAGGTCCAACGATGCTTAATGAAGTCAAATGCATGGCCAATCCCTCAGGGATCCATCAGTATCGATGGCTTTATTTTTGATCTTCATTTGTGGAGATGTGATACAAGAGAAAGATATAATGCCCATATGATCTGATGTATGATAATGTGTAGCTTTCTATTTGCTGCTTGTTATCTTTTTCATGGCAAAGTATTATGTGAAATGCAACCACAATAATGCTGAGATATTTGCAAAGCTCAGACCCCAGGCCAGATTCAAGGCCGCGATTACCCTTTTAAGGGGTCACATGTTCTCCACTGCACCACTGACGCCATTGGTTTGCCTTTCCCTTCTCTTTCTCGGAAGGATTAATCGTCTGTTTGAATTTCGACTGGTGTCTAAACTTTGCAGATAGCTCGGCATTGTTGCAATAGATGGTATTTCGAAATTATTCTTACAGCATTCCAACAAACCAGTGAATGATGGCGAAACGCAACTGCTACTTGGCGTTGCCAGCCACTACCTGCACGGGTCGCATATGCAGTCGTCGTTGACCAAGCATCTTCTGTCAGAAATCAACGAACGAAGGCGCTCGAATCCGAGTTGGTCGATAACAGCCAGCGCATGGAATGTCGATCTCATTTATCAGCTCTTCTGATCGTCGGTTGTAGTATGGTCTTGTAATCTAATTGAGGAAATCTTATTAGGAAAGCAGAGCCTTTAACCTTTGTTTATGTTAAAGATGTACATGCAGACTTTTTTTTTTGTTATTCCCATGAAAGCAGTATGACTTGTACCGTTGTTTGCAGTACTCGGCTCCATTCTGCACGTGCTTTTTTCGTTTTTTTCTTTTTTCGTTTTGTTTCTATAAAGAAGAAAACAACATTCGCACATACATACGGGTTTCGTAGGAATAGAAGATCGTGGACGTGGGTTACTCTACACTTTCACCTCGGCTATTGCTCAAAGAAAAACGTTTTTTCCAAGCAGTATTGTGGAATATTTAGAAGAGCTGAATATGAGTCATTATTTAAATGACTGCTGATATTAACACTATCAACCATTTACTTGCATACTTGGACGGCCCGTTCTCACTGATTGTGTGGGCCCTAGCATAGCCTCAATTTCTTCGGAGATTTGATGGTTTAGCCATTGTGGTTTCCTGGAATCTCAAGGTCAGCCTGGCCGAAGTCTGCCTCAGGTCGTCACCACCACCAGCTATCGTCCCAGTGGATGAGAGGGAGGTTTACCACCACGCGACTAGTTTGATACCAGGACGGTGGTGGATCCTGGTACTGGTTTACTCCTAGCTAGGCCTCCTGATAGAAATGCCGAACTTCTTAGCCTGAGAGACCTTTCCAGAGAGATGAATCTCCCCGATGTACATCGCACCCCGACTCCCAGGAACGCCTCCTAGCCGCGATGAAGCGGTAAACCGTTGGGGAGACTATCAATTTAAAAAGCTCGGGTCGGGGAATGGATTAGTTTTTTGTGCAGTTGAAAACATTCGTCTAAGACATCTTTCTAGAGTTAGGGGCGTTGAGCTAAGTACACAGTTGATTTTCCAGGTACACTATTTGAGTCTATCAGTTCAGCATTTTGATCTCTTCTAATATTCGCCTATTCTTTTGTTCAGATGAAAAACTACTGATGGAACAGTTCAAGAAAACTGAAAGTGTTTGAACATATTCGCCACCACGTAGGCTATCTGTGACCCCTTCATAGCCAGAAATAGCTGGGCTTCGCAGCTTCATATCAATCTATCTCACCTGCTTTTTCAATGAGAAGGAAATAAGTTGGAATCTCCTCAGGTTCATTGATTATCAGAGAAGGAAGATAAAAGAGTAATGATCTCAACGTCGACCAATCCCTGACTGTACGTCATGCATCCGGGTTCACCGAATACCGATAGAGGTGATCAGTGCATATCTGGCTTATAGAATGACTTGCGGTGGGCTACCAATGTATGGCATCAGTGCTGCTGTTATCTCAAATAAGTCTGGTACCAACCTACTAGCCCGCGAAACGGAAGGCTTGGTGAGCCCGGCGCGCGATTCCAACCGAAGACCGTTTGTGTTTTGCAGGGAACCCCTATCTCCTACACTACACTCATCTATAAAAATGATGTTTCTAAAACCTGACAAGGTCACGAATATGTTTACGCGACAGTTACTGTTGAAATTGTCTGCTCGATTTTTCCGAGAGACATCCTTCTGCGCTTTTTCCTGTTTTGGACTGGTAATCGTTAGTGTGTTATGGGACTGAAATTACGTATTACGCATCCACTTAGAATATATGACTGTTCTATTCAATTTATTCATATAGTTAAAAAAGGATTTATTACAACAAAAATAACTCCGGCAGGTCGAAACTAGGGCTGCAATAGGCATTGAAATCCCGGAAAAATCATGTGGGCCCAGCCGGCCTCATCAGATTGTGTGGATAGTCGCCCTTCGTCTTTGGTGAGAACAATAAGTTTGACCTAAAATGAATCCGTTCTCTGCCTAAATTCTAGAGAGGGATCTCAATTTTTGTTGTGTATTGTGTTGTCGAGGTCAATCACCATATCGACACTTGAAGATTAGGTCGTTCCATTAACTCACCGACGACCTCCTTCCTAACTTGGGTATTGCAATAGCTAACGTTACATAATACGCAGGAGCAGTTCGATGATATGCTATATTATTTGTAAGCAATAAGGTAAAAACTATATGGCGATAAATGGAAAGTCATGTTTACACATCGGACAATCTGACATCGACCTTGTGGGCGTTGTTGAAGCTTCTGATGCTTATTACTGAAATCACGAACCTGTGTGGAATTGGATCATGTGGTCCTGGCGTTGGTACATGACCTGCACAGTATACCTGCAAGCAGTCCAGTTTTAGTCTTTATTCAACAACTTCTGTTATCCAATTCCTTGTGGTTTCTAAAAATCTTCTCATTTACTGGACTCACGTGAAAAGGGTATTCTTTCCTATTTATGCGTGTTTTTCAAAGTTTCGATGCAAAAATTGCACAGCATAAAGACACTTAGTCGGAGAAATATGTGCAATTCATGTGAATGCTTGCAAACTACAGGTTAGTGCACTGCAATCATTAAGATGAAATGTACAATGAATGGTATGGGAGAGCACTTTGAAGGTGTACATGTAACGCTATGAAGGGTTATATGATAGAATTTACCCACGAGTATTGATTGCGGCTCAGATTCTAAGTGCCTATTCGCAGATAACATTTATAGAGGACATTTCTCAATATTGAGGACAAAGTTCGATATAGTGAAAGTGCGTTTAGGAATTCTAAATGCGATGGTGAAACACCGAGCAAATGCGATTCATGTTAAATTGTATTGTAGGTGGGCAGCAGGCAATGCTGTTATCAACGGATTTAAAAGATCCATCCAGTAATGAGCATGGAGTCGGAGTTCTCGTGGGAGCTGAGAACACTTTACTGAGAACAAGCGAAATCTTCCAATCATAACGTATCAATCCATAAGTGTCAAATCCTTTGAATCCTTACTTCTAGATCTTGATTGTCGTTCCTATTATTGTGATAGGTTTTCAGTGAAAGTCTTGTTCCACATATCCAGCACTTGAAGCAGCCTTTGTGAAATAACGCGCCGTCTTTCAGTGGACCGATCTGAAATACTGCATTTCACCAATAAGGTTATTTTGATACTCATTCTACTCAGTCAAATACTTTCACAACCTTAGCAGAAAAATTCAGCGTTTAAGTCTCGATATCGGAAACGGCATAAAAAAAACCAATTTCCTGAAAGCTAAACCTAGTGAAAATGTGATCCTACTTAAGCTGCCCTTAATTTCCGATGAAGCAAATTCATATACAAAGCGATGGTCAAAGAGGGTGAGCCTGAAAAAATCGGCATAAGTGACTGAACTACTGTGACCGAGCGCTATAAGACAGACACTAGTTCGTAGCCAACTGTACGACGGTTTATGCAAAACGCAAAATTTCATGCATTATCCCTATGGTAGAACTGGTGACCGCATTTTTCTTAGGAGTGACTTTTGGAACGGCGTACCTGAATTCTTGTAGAGGGTATGGGGACGAATACTTCGCCGAAACGGGTCCATATAAAAAACCACAGAGTTGGGAAACCCAAAGTCAAGCAAAACACTCCACTGGATACGCATTGGACACGAATGCATAATGAAGGCTTTGAAGTAGAAGTCGCTATCCTGGCACAGGAATCCGAAACATATAGGTGCAAAACTTTTGAAGGGTTCCATAAATTCCAGAAATCCGAAGATGAGCCGCGAGGAGTAGTACCCTGTAATCAAGCGTGACCTCGCCTTTATCTCGGGCTGATTTTTTGACCTGAGCCAGACATATTTCTTGCCCATGTAAGATTCTGTGCGGTCAGTCTTCAAGAATAACTGGATGCTTTATAAAGAACAAAACGGCGATTTCTTGAAAAGGTAGTTTCCTATGAAATTGAAACCTAGATGTTGAATTTTTTTGTGCTAGCGTAACGAAAGTGTTTGACTGAGTAGACTGCATGTTCGTTTGATTTTTTCGGGCTCTCAATAAGCAGCACCGAAATGCCAGCCAGTAGCAGACATTGACTGCACCACAGTGAAATGGTTGCTCTGCTGATGGAGCAAGGCACTTTTTTTTCATTCTCCCATACAAATCTGAGACTAATGTGCCAATACGCTTCGAGGTGAATTCTGTGCGGTTGGTCTTCACACGACATACTCAGTGGAAGACTCATAGAAAGCAGCTCTGAGAAAGGCGAAATCCGCCGAATCGTCAGCTTTTACGTGAGTGGGGAAGTGGAATAGCACCTCGTGTTTGCTGAGCAGAAGTGGAAAGTAATATGCCAACCTCGGCAAGATGGAAGGTGTGGTTAGCTCGCAGTGAGGAGTGGAACTAACGACTTACATGTGTGCAAAACAGCTCTAACCAGTGTGCAACATATTCCTTGCATTGAACTGACATCTCGGAATTGTTTACTATTTGATAGTATCTAGAAGATTATGAATTCGATAGCTGTGACATTTCCATTTGCTAAATGTTTGATGGATTCGTTAATGTACAGTGTACAAAATGCAGGTTTACCTATCTAATAGTGCAACAACACTGCTTTCGCTCCTTCACCTATAGCGATGAAATTGGCATATCAACCTCACTGAGGGGTGATTCTGATGGCACTTGTGGATAGAACTAACTGAGAGACAGGCGAAACGAAGGACAAGCACGGTGTGGTGGTGAACTGCGTTAGTCGCCGGAAAGGGTGATAACGCGTTCGTTCCCCATCGCAGACACCTACGGTCCGGAGTTTTCAATTTATCTCAGCACCGCTGTGGTTGTATTTCGCATAATATCCTGCCTTGAAAAACTATAGTGGGCAGCAAATAGAAAGTAAACATTGTAAATCAATAGCTTTAAGAATGTAGAGAGTGAAAGTAGACCAGGAGCTTAGCTTTTCTTCGATACACCATCGAGTTTTCATATCCGCTGAGAAAAAAGGAGTTTTTTGAAGATGGTTTCTTTCCTAATAAGATGAAACATCCAACTCTCACCTTATCGTTGAAGTATGTTGGCCGCTTACACCGGAAGCACGGCTCTTTCATTGACGAACCTGCAAACGTGTGAGTCTGAGCCCAGTCATTTCTTGTCAGATGTTACTTATCTTAACGTCTACTTATTTCCTATTCTTTTTATCATGGAAAGGTACGATGGGAAACATAACGAAAAGGAAGCTGAGGTATGAGTTCGACTCGGAATCTTAGACGGACTTCTATTCACGTTTACGAGTTCACGTGTTACCCATCGCACCAGCCGAGGACTCTGGTTTGCCTTTCTCGTTGATACATGATTGTTGATAGCACCGATGGCGTAGAAACATGGCTGGGAGAAAGGCAAATCAAGGGCCTTGGATGGCGTAGTGGAAAGCATGTGAGCCGCCGGAAACGGTAATCACGAGTTCGAAAACCAGCTGAGGTTGCAAGTTTTGTTGGTATCTCAGCATTGTCGTAGATCTCGATTGGTTAATAAAGCGAACTTTGAACATAAAACAACACGAGAAAAAACATTATTTCATTCTCACTGACAAATAAAGTACTTTCATTTCAGGTCAAGCAGTGATTTTGTAGAATGGCGGATATATTAGAGCAAATATAAAAAGTTACATCAAAACCAAAAAAATGACATTTAATTAGGTTGGAGTCCCTCTTAATATCATCATTGAAAAAGCCACTTTCCTAATATAGAGGAACTCTGATGGCCCTGAGTTATGTTCGCCCGCAAGTTGCCAAATAAACAACTGGTAACCGATTTCTTAAATATCAACAAGCCCTAATTTTTACGTCGATTTATTCATGAAGCCGGAAACTCGGATCTGTTCCTTAACGCAGAAAATTGAGAATGATAGGAATGAGAAGTATTGCAGAGCCGCATATTTCTATCCAGAAGCCCAGCTATGTGTATCCATAAACAATCTAATATTGCTCTGGGATAAAGGGACTAATGACTAAATATCACGCGCTTTCTTGCACAGAATGAAGAGGTATGCTTTTTACTAGATATGGTTTTTTGCTAGAAATATCCATTGGATGAAACTACCATATACTTCAACACGTTTGTTTATAACTTCGCCTTTCGTGCGGTCTTCTTTCTTGAGCGCCAAGCTGTGGTGCTCAGTAGCAGCCTCACGCCACAAACTAGTTGCCAAAGTTTGAAAGAAATTTGATTTTTGAATCTGGAAGCCTGGCTATCAGTAAATCTACTCTGCACATATCTCGAGGAACTGCTCGGGAGCCTCATACTGCCAGAGATAGTGGAAAAAATGAAAAGACAGTAAAGGCGTGGCGCTCTTTCTATTGCTTGAGAATGTGAAGCTCACCAAACATCTCTGGCGTGTGTGAAACAGGCAGTAATATACTGGAGTATGATCACGTTGTCTGGTAATTTACAGTATTACAGGTGATTTTTTATACACTTAGGATGAAAAAGGAACCTATCGGCACTTATTTATTTCAAAAACATCCATGCCCATCATCGTCGCGTCCATCAACCCTTTACGAGAATGAGTTCGCAGCCTCTATGCGTGCTCAACAAGTTCTTTTAATGCAATTTGTATGAAAATGACACTAACACTTCCTAACGTAACTGACAAAAAATAGCTAAGGTAACAAGTCTCTTTTTAAATGTCTCTGCTGTGCCACTCGATAGTATGTTTACGATGTGGCAACTCCTAAAGAATTAGGGTTAGAAGTTGGTTTTTCACAAACTGCTGGTAATTTTTCGATAACGAGCTAAATTGGGGAGCCTAAAACACTAATGTTTTATAGAAGAGACTATGCACTATTTAGGAGTAAGCTTGGTTCTTTAAGGCTTCTGAAATTGTTTCGAACTAAAGTTTCTGAAAGGAATGAAAACGAGGTGCAATTCATTTCATTGGAGAACAACTGTAGGTTTCAAAAATCTTTACCTCAACTAATGAGATTCAGTTTTAGGCGAGATGTGCTGGTTTAAAATTCACAGCGGCCTTTGTTTTCACAAGATGTGAGCGAAAATCAACTCATGTCAGCCAACTCCTAAGTGTTAAGTACTTCAAATGAAAAGCTGTCTCGAAAAAATACCATAACCTATTGCATGAACAGAGATCGGGACAAATCAGAGATTGTGATTTGAAGGAATATTGGATGATGTCTTCTTCTGCCTGGAGTCTATGAAAGAAAATCTATGAAGAAATGAGACCAAATTAAGGATAGGAAAGGAAATTATTGAGGACCAAAATGTTGTCAAATTTGTGTACTTTTCATAAGCTGCTATGAGATTGTTACTGAATACACATTTATAAAAATTTCGCTATTTATCGATCGCCTACAAATCGCTGCAACTTCTTAACTACCTGAAAATGCGAAATCCACTACAATTTGCCCCATTCTTAAACCGATTACGGACAACAACTCATGTTGCTCCATTATAAATAAAAAAGTGACTAATCAATGTCGTGATCGATGGGAAGTTGGTCGGAGAAATAGACAGGAACATGTAAATCTCATAGTGCAAGTTCCGTAGGCGCCTACGAGATTCCGGTTGTTAGAAGCGCCTAGTGTTGTGCGGAGAGCTGGTGAAAGCCGCAGTGGAGAGAAGTCCTTCAGTCAACAAACACTCAACCGGAATCGTGTCCATGTGTTCTTCACAGCAATTTCCTTGCAGAACTAGAAGAATGCGATCTAGAAATGAAAACTGAAAGCGAGTCACACAACTATTCAATTGGTTACATATTGAGAAAAGCTCGTAAACAGTCACAGTCTGAAGAAGATTCAACTCATTCAAGCTAGCACGTCTGAAGAGTCGATTAGAGAGCAGCCTTTAACAGCAGTGAACTACCGATAGTCTAATACCAACACTTGGAAACGAGGTGTAACCAGTAAAACTGTCAAGTAATACGAGCAGCGTTTAGTGGCAATAATACAGAGAATAGCTAGAGATGACAAATCGGTGACAAATATTGAGATATCAATTCGTTGCTGGTTGCAGAACTCATGCGCTACAGAGAAAAGATGAGCAGGCAAACTACACATGTAAAAGTAGCAAGTCCATATTCATTTTTTACGTTGCTCTCCATTCGTAGCACGGCGTATATAGCGCACTACCATTCTTCTACATGCTGTTTCCCGTACTGTCAAGGCCTAGCATCACAGCAGCGGTTAAGCCGCTTTGTTCGTTTAGGTCCTGGAATGCTTCCAGGCTAACTATTCCCGTCTTCTTTCCTTGATAAGCCCACTAAAGAAAGAATACGTACTGATTAGCCACACCGAGACACCGGTTTTGAAATGTCCTCGTTTTGTTACTCAAAAGAGGTCTTAACACTTTAATTGGTCGATAGCAAGCCACGATAAGCGTATCTGTGGCGTATGAATAGAGACATGAGTTACTAAATGTTGACTGATCAACAGAATTAAGGTGTAGCACCGGCGAAACTGTACACTCAATGCGGCGCGGGAGGCATTTGGACTTTTCCGGAAAAATTCTCTGTGGACGGAGCTGTGTTTGAAGAGAGAGCGAATAGAGCGAAAAACTGAGTGATATGATAGCTGGTGAAATGAGGCGACGTAGACAAGAGACTCTCGCCTGATAGTGATTCACCGAGAGGTGTTCGACGAACTCGATGCGCCATCGTAAGCCACTGGCAGCATTGTGTCAACAGTGGGCACACCATGTCGGCAACGAGGCACTGTGCCGGCGGACGAGATGTACAGCAAGAAGTGCTGAGCACGAGAAAAGCAAGTAGGTGGATTTGTGGGCGAAATCCAAGCACGATGACGAGTGAAACATCGGGCGGCACAGATTACCACTGTAAGCATCTTGTTAAAGTGTACGACAAAGACAAAAGACACTTGCACTCCTCTTCTCATCGGTATCCTTGATGAAGCCTAAATTTGCAGTAGGGTTGATGGTTACAAAGAGACTGAAGACATGTACGACGCAGGTGGTGAACACATGAAAGGTATCGCTGGTGATGACGCCTACATCATTACGGTTCAATATTGTGCTATAGTCGACTAAGATAGTGTGTCGCACAGTGGTTGCAGGTACCTTATAATACACACTGTATCATTCGTTGATTAGGGGCGCCGGGCTTACATGGCTTCCATTCGTCGGGGTTCGGCAAACTGGTGGCAGGAATGTCTGGAAGGATAGTAGCACTGACTTGATATTATATATCGCTAGTCACTGTATAGGCCGAATGTGCATTCAATCACTTTTACGGTACTACGAATGGAGTTTAATGCATGTTGCACCTTCTGGTAATGATCAACTATGAGCGCCATATTACCCTCTAGTGGGCTAACTTAAAATAACCTCTCACATGTAGTTCAGTTAACCGTCGAGTGACTCGAGTAAGTCTCCCATTTCTCCCTGTCGCGTATACGAGTATCGCAGTAGGTTCCGCTCGCTCTAGAGACTCTTTGAGCATCATATCTTTTTTCTAGGGTTTTCATCTAGAGAAGAACTCTGATCATCGGGTAGGCGGTCTTTTTGCAGAAGGTTTAACACCTTCAGGAAACCAGTAATCTACGACACTTGTCCATCGGATGTCGTCCATACGCATTACGAGCCTGGCCGACCTTATCTTAGCATCGTGTATAAAAGGGCATCACTGAGTAAGGATGCCTCATTCGAGGAGATGGCTCACTGAAGAAGACCTGACTTGACACGAAGGCGAAGCTGCCACGTCGAGACGAATAACAAGCGAGGACCATCGACTCGGATCATCGGCTCTGAGGAAGACGAAGACGTCGAAACGTTAGCCGAAAACAAACATCATTATCAACCTCGTGTAAGCTCATCAAAGAAAGAATACATATTGATTAGTGATACCGAGGCTCAAGGAAAGTCGGTTTCAAAATACTATCTTCGACTGTTTGGCGTACAATGACATCTTTGATTTTTTGTTGTTGACGCAGGTCGGAGCTTCGGATCGTGGTGCGAGATACTTCCAGAGTCTTCCTTTCGATTGCGCGTTGTATAACTCTGAGTAATCTTTCAACTTGCTTACGTAGCGACCAGATTGCTGACGGGTACGGTAAGACAGTAAGAATCGTGGAGTCAAAAAGATGGACGCGAAGTTGAAAATTCTTTGTTCTATTTACTACAGCCTCGACCCTGTTCAAAGATTCCCTCGCCTCTCGGTTTCTTCTGTCATCTTCGCAGCTGATACGTTCGTCATTTTGACTTACCTACGTAGACTTGAATGACCGCTGACCGTGAATGAATATATTAAACTAATAATCTCCGATAAACATCGTTTTTATGAGATTTAGAGGGAGACCTATGTTTTCACAAGCGCCACCATAGTCTGTAAGTGTTCGTTCTGTCTGGCTAATACTTGGTGTTATAAGAACGATGTTATCTGCAAAGCGAAGATGGTGTAATAACCGACTATCGTTTTTCACTCCCATGTTATCCCATTCCAATGTTCGCATAGCGTTTTCGAAAGTGACAGAAATAATTTTGGCTAAATGGTATCGCCTTCCGTAACCCCTCTTATGACGTTAGTGTTAATATCATTGTAGAATGGAGATATATTGGCTGTGAAATTTTTGTACAGCTCATGAAGAAACTTTATATGCCGATTAAGGACTACCTGGTTGTCCAGGGCTTGTATGACTGCTACAATCTTAGCTGAGCTTAAATCAACCACAATGATGCTGAGATATTTACAGAACCCGGACCACGGATAAGAATAACGGGAAGTAAATAAACAGTTATACATTGTGATCTCGAGTACAGCCTCAGCTTAATTGGGTTCGATGTTGATTTGCACTTACCAGGTCGTTTCCGTTAACGGCTCATTGCTGATGGTACCGTTAGGATAAAAACTAATTGAGAGGAAGGCAGAACAAGGGCTTCAGCGGTGCAGTTAGTAACAGGCGAGCCCCCAGAAAGCGTTGTCGCGGTTGCGGTTCGAGTCTGGGCTGCGGTCTACGATTTTGCAAACATAACATTATTGTGGCTGTGTTACACATAATAGATTGCTCTGAAAAAATAGTAGGGAGTATATAAAAAGTTATCCCGCATGGCATGGTGGTGAACGCGTTAGCCCTTGAAAAGGATAATAGCGCGTTTGTTTCCCACTGCAGACACCTAGGGTCCGGAGTTTTACAAATATCTCAGCAACATTGTGGTTGCATCACACGTAATGCTACCTGTGAAAATTGTAATAGGCAGTAAATAAGAAGTTATAAAGTTATACATTGAGCCAAAAGCTTTCTATAAATAGATGAAGGTGGGACAGAGCGGTCTCCCCTATCTTGGCGACGGTTCAATGAGTTTTGTTATTTCATGGATGTGGTGTGTCATGCTGAATCCTTTTCGATACCCTTCTTGTCCATTTGGCTGTCCTTTTTCCAGAGTACTGTCTCTTTAAGATCACTCAAGTGAAGAGTTAATGCGCTATAGACAGCACGCAGAATGGACGATAGTTCTCCCACTCAGTAGGAACCATGCATTCAGACAGGTAGAGTGTGAAGAGCCGAGCTAGTGTGTTAATGAGGAAAGACGGAGGTTTTCGCAGGTGTTCAGGTCTTGTCTTGCCAAAAGCAGGTGTTGTTCGATTCTTCCCCGATGAAACGGCACGTCGGATTTTGGAAGGCATAGGTTGGAATCAATATCATTAATGACTACGGTATTTCATTATTCTATTGTGTCCTTTGCACTGGTTGCATCCACACTTCGATTCCTGAGTATCACCAAAAATTGGCAATTGTCGCCTCGCCTGTAAACGTTGCTATATCACGTAAAGAATAGATAAAGGATAAAGATCTTGGCGTCTATTGGACATGCACTATGCATTCGACTTCATTAAGCATCGTTTGGAGGTGATCGAAGGGATATCCGACCTTTACAGTGACTCGCGGTGGCCTACCGATGTATCGAGCTAGTGCTGCTATCCTCCCAGAAAAGGCTGGTACCAATTTGCCGATCCCGGAAGGATGGAGGGTTTGATGAGCTTGGGGTGCCGGGATCGATCCCAGGTGTATTGCAAGGCGCCTCCGACCACCGCCACACGTCTCCCCCTCCTCTCTGTATCCTCCTAGCGATTTAAACTATAATATTAACCTATTAACCTTCTTGAAATAAATGTAGTCACCTAACATCTCACTTTTTTCTTCATTTATTGCACTACTCGAAATAATGTGATTCTCTTTTCTTACGGAGATCTCCCTAGTTTTAGTCCATATTTTCTCAAACATGATTGTCGTTCTCTAAAACACGCTTTGGAGACTTCTTGGCTGTCTTTCTCATAAATGAGGTCAGATTCTCGGTGTTGAAGGGTATGGAGAGCAATAACTTGCTATTCATCATCCTGAAACCAGGCGAAAGTCTATCGCTATGATGATGAGATATTTACAAAACTCTGAAGCGCAGGTGGTGGTGGGGAACGAACGCCAATTGCTCTTTCCGGGCGCTAACGCGTTTGCCACCACACCATGCCAGTGTTTCATTTCGCCTGTCTCTCAGCTAGTTTTCTATCTACTAGTACCATCAGCGATTGCCTTTTGATTTCACGTAATCTCCTGTCGTGAGGGGCGCGTGTAGCACAGTGCTCAGAGGCGCCCAGCAACACACCCAAGGGACCGATCCCCACGCCTATGGCCCACCAAACCTTCCATCACTGCGTGGTCGGCAAATTGGCACCAGACTTGTCTGGGAAGATAACAACCCTGGCTCGATGCATCGGTAGGTCACCGCGAGTCGTTATTAAGGTCAGATATGCATTCAATCATCTCCAACGATGCTTAATAAAGTCGAATGCATGGCGCATCGCTCAGGGATTTATCAACGCTGACAGCTTTATCCTTTTAACCTTTTATCCTTCTGTGAAAAACTGTAGCAAGCAGCAAATGAGAAGTTAACATTGTGATTTCTGGCGAAAGTTTTAAAGAAATATTTCATTCCTTCCAGATGTGTACCACATGTGGTAATGATTTAGCCGTGTTTTGTGGAGTGCGGCTGTAATGAGAATTGTAATCAACAAATTTTCTCTCCATAATACTTTGAGCAGTTGTGATCAAAGGGCTCCATGTTTTCTATCGTCGGATTTGCGATTTCAAAACTCGATGCTTTTTTTAGACAAAGTTCTGTGTTTACATCTACCTTTGATTTTGTATTAAATATCATTTTCATGCTTGAACTCTCTGAATTTGTTCGTTGAATTGGCTTTGTGTTTATGTCAGTTTTTAAAATAAAAATAGAAACCAAGAAAATCCAAGCAAGTCATAAACTTCATTGTTCCTACCTTTGAGTAGCTATCGTCTTGCATCTTTGAAGAGTGGAAGCAACTTTCAATCTTTAGCATGCAAACGGTATACATTCGTAACTCCCTTCATGTTGCTATTGTTAGGCCATTACTTGATACTTGATACTTGGATGGCCCGCCCTCATTGGTTGTGCGGTCCCCATCATAATCTCCATCTTTCGGAGATTTGTTGGTTAAGCCTTTGTGGTTCCCTGTAATTCCGAGGTCAGCTTGGCCAAAGTCCACCCTAGGTCGTTACCACCACAGGCTGTCATACCCCTTGTGGATCACAGGGAGATTTGCTACCATGCGACTTTGATACCAGGACGATGGTGGATCCTGGTGCTTGTTTACTCTTAGCTAGGCTTCCTGATGGAAACGCCGGACTCCTGACCCTGCTAGGGCAATGAATCCCACTGCTGTACATCGTAGCCCGACACCCATGAACACCATCAATCACGATGATGCGGCAAACCGTTGGGAGGTGTTAGACGATTTGTATATAAAAGTTTAAATTCCAAAATTTGAAGCCCATGCAGTAGATACAATATTAGGTCCTGTTCGGGAATGTAGAGAAGGTAACTACATTTTTCCTATTCAGCGAATACCTTTCACCGCATCACCGTGGCTGGAAGGTGTTCGTAGGTGTCAAGCTGCGGTTTACAGTGGAAGGATTCATTCATTCCCTCAGAAGGGTTTCGTAATTTGAGAAGTTTTTATAAGGAAGCCTAGCTATGAGTAAACCAATACCACGAGATGTCAC